TTGGTGACATTGTAATATGCAGTCTACCACAGTGTTTCTATTGTACTATGCAGTCATTCTACCATAATACAAATGACATATACGGTAGACCTCAGATAGTGAGGTAGACTGCATACTATAATAGCATTCATTTTTATTTGAAGAGTTTTATAACAATATGACATTTATTAAAAAAAAACTGACAAATTACTCAATGTTATTAAAGTAAAAATTAAAAGGGATCTTTAAAAATGATTTAAGGAGTTTAACCTCAACTAATATGGGTTTTTACTGAAAAAACATGAAAACAAAGAAAGTTATTTTTTCTTCTAAATATGCCTATATACACACATCATAATAATAACAGCCAGTACCTACCCATTTCAACAGCTGATATAGTCTCTTCTTCCACTAAATGAACAAAGACAACATTATGTTAAAAGCACAAAAAATTTTTCTTTTGAGCTTTAACAGAAACTATTACACAAAAAAACAGTAAAAGCTATTTGCATAGTTGCTATTTTACAACTCACTTCAAAGTAAATTATTATTACATTGCATTTACAAGATATTTGTGCTAAATTTAAAACAACAAATTGTTTATTGATATCTTAACAAATATATATAGATAATATTCAAAATATGAGTAACCAGTTAAACATTTTTATACTATTATTGAACAATGTTAACACTACACAAATTTCAAAGTACCATACTTGTCTTTTTCCCATTAAATCTTAAGATACATATATGGAATATATTTTAGGCTCATTAACATTAAAACTCATTAACAAAATTTGGATATTCATACCACAACTGAGAGAAATATTTTTTAAGAAAATCTTCAGCCATAATTAACTTGAGAATTTTTTTTTTACTTAATAATTAATATCAAATAATCCTAAAAGTTCTTTATAGTAACATCATGTAGGAAAAGGTACCTACCAATAGTCACAGCAGGAGTTATCTTCTCTTCCCGCTCTACAGTTACAAAGACAACAGCCAATTTCAATCAAAAATGTCTATCTCAAATTATTACATATGTGAAATAGAATCAAATGATTAAACTTAAGTTTTTCATTTTACTGAACTCCAAAGAAATAATATGAAGAAAAAAGAAAGAGGCATTTATGAAAACAAAAAACCTATGTCTACTTAATTTTAATTTATATAGCCTACATATTCACAAAATGTTCATTATTTTATAAATCTTAGTTTCCACCTGTTCTTCACAAAATTCAAGAAATTAATTAAAAATGATAGCCAATCATTAGCAAATGCATCTAAAGGTTTACTCTTTATTACACAAAATAAAGAACTTCTGACTATTGTATTTTTACCAAACAATAAGATCAACAAATATCTTTTTTATAACAGCATAGAATTAATGGAGAAAAAGCATGCAAGAGAAAAACAATAATTTACCCAGAATAATGGCAGGTTCTACTTTGTCTTCCAGTTCTTCCTCTAAAGGAAAATAAACCAGAAATATATATACCAGAATTCTACAGAATGTAAATAATACAAGACAATCATTTCAGGCTTCTTTGTCACATTTCCTGACTGGAAATCATATTGAATTAAAACAAGCCCTTTGAAGTTACGGAAACAAGAAACAAACCAACATCACTGACCTTATAGAAGGTCCCCCACAAGAGGTATCACTGACTCTAAAGGTGGCCTTGCAAGAGGTATCACGAACCCTAAGAATGCTCAAAAAGAAGATCAATTATGAAAATACCTCCAGCCATGACAAGTGACAGAGAAACCCAATACGATTATCTAATCTTGCTGTCATTTTTGTCTCCAGTTTTTTCATTTAAAGAAAAAAAATAACTATTAGCATAAAAAAAAGGTCCATGAGTTTTAACGAATGTATTTCATAATAAAGTGAGAACGTAATATTGGAGGCACACTGACATCTACATTGTTCAAGTATGTCATCTATGATTTTCACCCACCTCAAAAAATAGGTAAATTTTATTTTCCTATATGATTATTTGTGGCTGTAGATTAAAATAAGGAAAAAAGAAAAAAAATGAATTTTTTAGAAATATCATTCCAGACAAAATTTTATACAAAAAATTTTAAAGTATTACAAATTATTTAACTTTAGAGCTAGAAAAATAAATACTTATTCAAGATCATGTAAGATGTTAAAAACCTAACAACCATCCTAGATAAACTGGAGATATTAAGGCAAAAGATTAAACAAGAATTTTATGCCACATAGGAATGTGTCTTAAATTTGAAATTTTTTTTTTAATTATTAATTTAAGCTCTAACAAAATATGATTTGGAATATTTCCTATGGAACCTGATGCATTTTCCCCCCATTCATCATAGTGTGTTGTTTTAAAATGGAGGAAATAACTGTTATAAATGAAATAAGCTATGTTGGTTTCATATATCAGTGAAAGTAGTTAATGCTTTAAATACACTATGTAACACATATAGTAAGAAGCATAGCAATAATTAGATAATATAGATTACCATGGTAAAGTTCAATAACCTTCAATAATTATGATAGATATGTTTAACATTTTGATATAAACGTTTGAAGGTAAATTACTCAAAAATGAAACTTATTTATTTAGTCAAAATTCAATATGATGCTTGGTACCTACCAATTATGGCAGCAGGAGTTATCTCCTCTTCTTCTAAAGAGAAAAATAACAGACAAAAGTGAGAGACAAATTCAAACAACACTATCACAGAAATAAATTGCACACTAGTGCTTATACTAAAAATACTAAAGCTATAACACTTACTTCAGATTACCATGATAGAGGTTATGAGAGAGATGTTCTGTATACTAAAATAAAACAATATGTTGTCAAATATAGAGGAACACTGAAATCATTACTATGTCCTTGAAAAAATATCAAAGTTGAAAAGTAGGAACATAGGCACACATCATTTAAAAGCTGATGCTAAACAATCTTCCTGCCCAAATTTAAGCTGACCTGATCTAAAATAATATCTATAAGGCCTTAATTCATTCACATCATGAACCAAAGCCAAAGAAATAATTCTTGAAAAAATATCTGCTGTTCCCAGCCACTAAAGATTTATTGGAATGATTCCCAACAAGAGAACTCAAATGAGCGACAAAACAAAAAACACATTTATAACTTCAGAAACAATTTTACTTTCAACTAACAAACACATACTAGAGAAAAATGGCTGTGGTAATCGTATTTCAGTTTCTTAAAACAGAAACCATTTGTAAACAGATACATACTTTCTTACCAAGAAATAAGCAGACTATTGATTTCTTACACATTGACATCTACATGGGTGTGAAATGCCAACATCATTATCTCAGGCTTTCGTGAAAGAATAAGGATCATAACAGAATAGAAAAAATTTTTTATTGGAAATAAAAATGACCTTTTATTGGTATTACTAAATTTAGCCAATAGAGAAACAAAATTTTGCAAAAAGTCTTTCAAAAAGGAAAGTCCTGTCTGTCAAGAAAGCCAACATTCAAATCCGACCCACCCCCAGATTCAATTTCCAAACTATCATTACTGGGAAATATATAAGTTTCAACTTGAGGTTGGCCAGAGAAGATTTTGAGAGAAGTAAATCTGATGAGTTATTACTTAGCACAAATGATTAGAATGTATTTTCTAGAATGAACCTCAATATAGATTATCATGTCTTGGATCAATACAGATTTATTTTTAATGCATTGGCAAAATGATATAAATATCAGGAGATACTAAATGATATCAATACACATAAAACTGTCCTTTTATTGCCATATTTAACAAAGAGAGACAAACCAAAGCTGGATAGCAGTAAGCTTCTTAGCAAATGGTTTTTTGAAAAAACAAATTTAGCCATTTATTGAAAAAGTTCTCTAATTGATACAAATGATGCCAACAATGCATTTTATGAATGTTTATCATCTATAAAACAACTACAGAATTATGTGAATTAGCTGATTAAACCACCATATGGCAACTCATTCTCAAATTGCATCTTGGACAACTGTGTCCTGTCATTGGTGTTATGTATATTTGTGTATGTTTTTGTGTTCTAGCCCTTTCTGTTCCAATATATACTGGATTCTCCTGTCGTTTTCAATGTATGACGGTCAAGCAGCTCAGTCCTTAGAACCAACAGCCAAGACTACCAGCAGATATGATCTGATTATAGTAGTGAAAGCTTTTGCAGTACCAACAACACTTTTTAGAAGAACCGAATACCGAGAACTGGTGCACAGTACACCACAAGGTTCCCAAATGACCTCCTTCCCAGCATGTTTTGAAATCAGAGTTGTCCTTCTCCTAGGCTATAGGACCCAGTTTGTCCAACTGTTTATTCATAGCTGGGGGAAGGGGATTCATACCTTTCCTAAGGGTATCAGTACATATGTGAATATAATGAACTGGAATTCGAACTCAGCTCTCCGATTCTACAATCAGAGACACTATCCATTACTGTGCTTCAAATATTAGATATAATTTTTCATACTCATTTATTTTTTTTTTCAATAATATTTTTATTGTTTTATTATTATAGATATTATAGCATGCATTTTACTGATAAATATTAAATAACTAAATAGCAAATACCAATGATGCAAATATCTTGAGCACCATGTAGAAGCATCTCTTCAGATTTAAGTATTTCACTGGATTTGTTAACAGACATATTAAACAAAATAAGAAGCTATGGTGGTTCCATCTAGCAGTAGAGGTTTGTTAATGGCTTATGAACCTTTTGTAAATTATTTAAAACCAAAACATTTGTTTTTGATTGTAAGAATATATATATATTTTTTTTTTTTACAAGTGACTAGCATCTTAATAAATTTCTGGATATCATAATGATTTTCAGATACAAATCATACTATTTAACTCAGAGCTGGTAGAGAAGAGGTGGATTTGTACCTTTCTCAAAGATATTTGCATGTAAGTAAATGTAACAAATCAGACTGGAATTCAAACTTGGCTCTCCATTTTCTCATGAAGAATCATCATCCATTATACTGTTCGGTGCATCCATGTTTACAGCATCTGGTATTCCCAAGTGGTCACCCATTCAGGTACTGACCAAGCTTGATGTTGCTTAACTTCAGTGATCAGTCAAGGACCAGTGTTTTAAAGTGATATACTGTAAGCCTAGTAGTAGAGATATGTCTAGCTTCAGTGTAAATTGTGGTATGCATCTATGTCTTACAGGTTGAGATCAGGAAGAAAAATCTCAAACAAGAGAAAAAACAAGGAAGGTGTTTTAAATATTCTAGGTTTATCCTAGTTGTTTTGATTTGGTGCTTGTTTTTAAGAGATTATAATTAAATCAAACTAAGAAAATGTTTTTATCTTGATAGAAAACTCAGAATGCAAAGAGAAATGTTTATTCAGGTTTTCCCAAATGGTCCTGGTTATAATTAGCAATATGGATATTGTCTGCATGACTATGTACAATTGGAACATTGCCAGGTTTGTTACATCTGGAAAGAATTATTGCAGAAACAGTCATTAAGATTGTAAATCTAAGACAGAAGCAAAACCAACAAATAGATATAGCCTTACAGTACATGACAAAGACACACATACAACCAGTGTCTCAATATCTCTATTATATATATATATATATATATATATATATATATATATATATATATATATATATATATATATATATTGAACATAAGGGTTAAATTATTCAATGTGGAACAAGTAGGAAAAAGCATTCTAAATTTTAAATAGCAAAATATGTGAAATTTAGAAAAGGTTTTCTTACTTCTTTTGTTCCTTATTTAAATAATTATATATATATATATATATATATATATATATATATATATATATATATAGAGAGAGAGAGAGAGTATATATATATATATATATATATATATATATATATATGTGTGGAATCTTAGGTCATGAACAAAAAATATACAGGTCAGGACCATTGGCAGGAGAACATCAGATGCAGTGTAGCTTTCACTCAATACATATCCTGGCTTGAATTTGCCATGCCTTCTCTTGAATTTCATTATGTTTTGTATATTTTTTTTTTATTATAAATTATTAAATAAGACCATTAGGCCAAACAAGGATAATAATAGCAGCAAAGTGAAAAGGAAAATGTTAAAATCATGATAGAAATGAAGAAAGAAATCATAGCTACACATAAAAATGGTGTTTGTGTCCCTGATCTTGCTACTTGTATGGCAAAAATCAATGATCTGTACTAAAATTATAGTACTATATATTTCGTTAAAAATGACTAACAATGTAATCTGCTTAATTTTTTATTATATTTTTCTTGTTTGTAAAAAGAATTTGTTTTTCAAACCTAGCAATTGTAGAAATTATTCAAAAGGTTGATTGTACCAAACACTTTTGGTTAATCCATTGGCCATTTTCATGGACCTTTGTTATGCTATTATAAAGGGTAGCGTAACAAGTTTAAGAGTTGCTGAAAGGTAGACATATTTTAATCCTCTTCCCAAATACATCCAATACATTTTTGCCATTCAATCTTTACTTTTAGTGGATACCAGTGTTTGAAATAGACACCCTGTTTTTTTTTTTTTAACAGTGAGTGATAAGTCTATCAGCCTGGATTGGAGCCTGTGTCCCTTCTTGTAGAATAAACGCAAGCATGAGTATCCACTAAAAATAAAATTTGAAGTAATAAAAATATCACATTAAAAATAAATACATTCTGTGTGCATGCGTGTATATATATGTTCTTTTTCATAGATACATATATTTAAGTAAATGCTCTGTTTATAATAAACGGTATTAATGACATTTACTGGCCTGAATGTCCAAGAAATTTTCATAGAAAATATGCATCCTCCGATAGGAATCGAACCTGTATCCTACACGGAACTGTCATATAGCCTGACGTGCTTTACCAATTTAGCCACAGTAAAAACAGTAAAATCGACCTTGCTAACCGAAATGTTCCTCTGTGGCTAAATCGGTAAAGCATGTTAGGCTATGTGATGGTTCCATGTAGGATACAGGTTCGATTCCTGTCAGAGGATGCATATTTTCTATGAAAATTTCCGACATTCAGGCTGGTAAATGTTAATACTGTTTATTATAAACAGAGCATTTACTTAAATATTTGTATCTATAAAAAAGAATGTATAACTATAAAAATGTCTTAAAATAGTTGTCAAGCTTTGTCTATTTCATAATATATATCTCCAGCTATGGGTAAATAGCAGGACAGACTGGGTTTTATAGCCTTGGATGTCAACTAATTTAGGAGAAGGACAACTTTGAATTCAAAACCTGTGGAGGGTCGTTTGGGGACCTTGTGGCATGTAGTGCACCAGGTCTCTGTATTTGGCCATTCAAAAGCGTGGTTGGTTCTGCACAAAGCCTTCACCATTATAATCAAATCATATGTGCTGGTGTCTGCATTGTTGGTTCCTAGAAACTGAGCTGCTTGACCCTCACATGTCAAATACAATGGGGTGAGTCCACCATATTATTTATATATGCACACACACACACGCAATTGTTGACTATCATATGTCAATCAATAACTCCAACCTATCATGTTGCTCTGTATACAAATATAATTTACTCTCTACCAGTGTGCACACACTAAAATAAACAACTGATCATCCATCAAGTAGACATAATAATTCATCATAAACACATACCCATTACTCACAGAGACACACAAGCTTCCAGTCCAACATCTATAATATATGCATATTTGTACAGCAGCTTCCATACTCCACCTGCCCACCATACATAAAACATAGCCAACCAATCAAAAAAGTCCAACAAATTAACATATATCAGCTGACCTTAAAATATCCAATGAAAAAAAAATTATCAGGAGAATAGATAAAAACAATCCATGCAATTTTATAAATATATTTGTAAGTACCTACCATTCTTGCTGACAGCTTCTTCTACAGGAAAAACATAACATGGTTATAAAGAAAAAATGCATTCATTATAAATAGGATCCTTTTTGCTATAAATAAAAAGCTCAAATTAGTTCCATCTAAAGCAGTAACATCAATATTGGTTGCTAAAAATATTTCATACAATTCTATCACAGAGAAGTTTCATTTCTTGAAATGTTATTAGTGAAAATAATTTAATTATTATTTTTTTTTTTTGAGACAGAAATTCTTTTTTTCCAAAATATTTTATAGAAATTTAAAAAAAAAAATCTAACTAATTTACAAGCAACTTTGAATAAATTTAACAAATACAAGCAGAAGTTAATAAAATAAACAAAATAATTTTAAAAATAATAAAACAATTTAAAAAAAAAAAAAAAAAAATCAAAATTGAAAATTTATCACCAGTTTTTGATCAGGGATCAATTTGTAAAAGAATTTTGAGAGTAAAATGATCCTAATACAACATTCATAAGCTCTGAGAAAACAGGAATTACCAATCCAAGACTAGAGTCACATTTTGAACATTTGATAAATTTTAAAAGCAGTAGATAATCATTACACTGTTAAAAATTAAACTACAATAATAAACACTTAACCATTTTTAATTTTAATAAATAAGCATTTAGCTTCAGAGGAGAGAAATATTTCCAAGGAAAAGCTCCTCCTTACCCCTGTTATTCACATAATTGTGCACTTGCCAAATTATCCTATCAATAAATACAGAAAATAAGCTGTCTTGCCAGAGAATAAAGATTAGCTAGTTAGTCCCACTGTAGGGAGTTCAATCTTCACTGGGTGTCCCACACTTTTGGCCTTATATCAGGCTAAATTAGAATAAGGTTTAATAAGCTAGTCTTTCAAATAATTATTACACACTTTATAGCATTAAGGAAGTCACTCAACTATAAAACACTTGTTATAGACACCACATTCTATTTGAATTAATTAAAAGGCAGATTAAAAAAAACTATATTATTTGATTAATAAGTATATTTAATAAAGTAAGGATACTGTAATATCCAAATCAATTTAGTATTTACTTTTTAGTTTAATCAGTCTGTGATCTAATAACAGAAATATTCCAACAGCTGAAGTATTGCAATAACTATTGTCACATCCCCAAAATGGTCAAGTGTTTCTTTAGTGGAAACCCTTTTGCTGACTCTTTGTAACGTTCTGACACTTTCCTGATGTGAGCATAAGATGTGCTTATAAACAATGCAGCCTAGATCTAAACTAGTTTCATCTGGCTTCTCTCTTGTATAAATACAAGTCTATCAAAAGTGGCAAGAGCACTTCAAAGAAAAGTCTAGTAATTCATGGTTGCTCAGAGCTAAAACAAAGATATCAAGAATGAACACCATGCAGGGATGAAGTAAATTAATACCATTCAAAGTTAATGCAGCTGCCTTTAAAATGAAGAGAAACTTCAGAACAAAGTGTCCAAAAAACTAACCTCATATTAACAGATTATCTATTTTTTCAGATGCTGTCAAATTAAACCCATCTTTTTGACCAGATTGATCAAATTCTGGTAAGCTGTCAATTTTGAAAATGTTAAAGAATAATAAAAGTTAAGAGGAAAAATGCTGTACTCATTTGATTTTAGTTTATATCACTAAGTGATGATCTTAGCAAAACATATTCAAAATTCTTTCAATCTACTGAGATGTGTATAAATGATTACAAAATAAGTCAACGGCATCCTTTTAGAATAAGGGTCATTGCAGCTCCCCACAATTTTCTGTTTTTTGGTTTCTTGAAGTAACCTCTGACCTTTTACTGTTTGTCCTTGTTCTGCCACCTTACTCACACAAACCCATGAAGATACTTTTTCCCCTCTGCTTCTCTTGCCTTCAATAGGTCCTGTGAGTATCAAATTCTCCAAGCATTCTTTCTTCATTACGTATCATAAAAATTTCAGCTATCACTGATTATAAATATCATTTTCTTTGCAGTTTCCATTTTTCTTTAAAATTCCCTCATTGCTCACTTGGTTCTGTTCATAGTGGTTTAAGCATTGGTCAGTAGAACCACATCTCTTGTTGCTTCATTTTTCTTCAACTGTGAGTAGATTTTCCAGTATACATAGGAGGTCAGGTATATTACATCAGTTTAGCACTCATTTAATTTTTTCCAATGTAGATTTCGTTTTTCTTAATATTTTGCTCAGTTTCTGAAAGGCATCTTTCACTATTTCTATTCACCTTTA